AACAAGAATAACCCCCTGAGCTCCTCTATAGTAAGCACTCGTTAATGTTTTAAACCTTTCTAAATAAATATAGGATAAACAAATAAATAAATATAAATAAATAAATAAATATACAAATAAAAATAAAAATATAAATATAAACACTCACTATACAAGTATAACCCCTTGAGCTCCTCTATAGTAAGCACTCGTCAGTGTTTTAAACCTTTCTTAATAAATAAACAACCAAATAAATAAATAAATAAATAAATAAAACAAATATATACATATATATATGTATAAATATAAATGTATATAACTTACTATACAAGTATAACCCCCTGTGCTCCTCTATAGTAAGCACTGGTGAGTGTTTTAAACCTTTCTAAATAACCAAATATATAAATAAATAAATAAATAAATAAAACAAAACAAATGCATATACATATATACATATAAATATATATATAAACTCACTATACAAGTATAACCCCCTGCGCTCCTCTATAGTAAGCACTGGTGAGTGTTTTAAACCTTTCTAAATAAATATAAATAAAATAAACAAGTAAATAAACAGATAAATAAAACAAAACAAATATAAATATAAACACTTACTATACAAGTATAACCCCTTGCGCTCCTCTATAGTAAGCACTGGTGAGTGTTTTAAACCTTTCTAAGTAAATAAACAACCAAATAAATATATAAATAAATAAAACAAAACAAATATACACATAAATATGTATAAATATAAACTTACTAAACAAGTATAACCCCCTGAGCTCCTCTATAGTAAGCACTCGTCAGCGTTTTAAACCTTTCTAAATAAATATAAATAAAACAAACAAATAAATAAATAAAACAAAACAAATATAAATATACACACTTACTAAACAAGTATAACCCCCTGCGCTCCTCTATAGTAAGCACTCGTGAGTGTTTTAAACCTTTCTAAACAACCAAATATATAAATAAATAAATAAATAAAACAAAACAAATATATACATAAATATACATAAATATATATATATATATAGAGTAACTTACTATACAAGTATAACCCCCTGTGCTCCTCTATAGTAAGCACTG